CCCCCCCCCCCCTCTGTTTCGAAGCTTCTGCTGGTCTCTCTCTGTTATTCTCTTGCTCGGTCGTTTGGTTACTCAGATCAGCGGGAACAGAGGTAAAGCTCGACCCCTTTTTGGATTTATTCGCTTTGACTATATTTAGGGTTTGCTCGTATGTTAGCTTGCTATTTGTTACATTTTGATATGTTCCTTGTTTGTGTACATTTTGTTTCGGACTGATCTATGATGGAAATTTCGATATTTTGTCTCCCAATCTGTTATTTTTCTGCTTTTCTTATCAAAATTAAGGGTTTGCCGGTGAAGGGTTCTGATCTTTTATTCAGCTTAGGGTTTCTGTGTGCTTAAACATCAAATGTTTCTATTTCTCCGACGTTGATAATTGAAAACGTAGCGTTAATGGGATCCTTCAATTTTGTTTTTTTCTTTTAACGACATCGACCCATTTTTTAATAAGTTTATGGAACTGATCGAATATTAGATTATGGATTTCCTCGATTTTGGTTAACAATAAGGGTTTCTTTTAAGCATTAGTTAGGATATTCAGAGGTTGATGATGAAGTAGGATATTCGAAGATACATTTTAAGCTATCTTCATGAATGGAGTACCGAATCTTTGCTAATATATGCTTGCCATTTTGCTCACTACAATTTGAGGAGCGTAGATGGCGAAGCAGGAAGCTAGTCCTGCCCCGAGTGCTGAGGTCGTTGGTCATGCTTTTGTGGAGCAATACTATCATATTCTTCATCAATCTCCGGGATTAGTCCATCGGTTTTATCAGGATTCAAGTTTTCTAACTCGACCTGATGCTTCGGGTTCTATGTCGATCGTGACAACTATGCAAGTGAGCTTTTGCTCAAAGCAATTCTCTCAATGTGCTTTTTTAGCAGATTGCAAATTGGTTCTGATTATTCCTTTGGATCTACTTTTGGAGCAGGCAATCAATGAAAAGATTCTATCTTTGAACTATGAAGAATACAAAGTGGAGATTGAAACAGCTGATGCTCAAGAGTCATATGATAAAGGTGCTATTGTGTTGGTGACAGGATGCTTAACGGGAAAGGATAGCGTGAGAAAGAAGTTCACTCAAATGTTTTTCCTGGCTCCACAAGACAAAGGATACTTTGTCTTAAATGATGTTTTCAGATTCTTCGAGGAGAAAGATCCGGCACAGGCCCATTCTATCACCACCAATGGAGTCAGTGAGAATACTGAGGCTGTCGAACCAGGTTTGTGAAGGGTTCTGGAATTCTGCATTGTTCGTATATTTATGGGGTTAGATAGTTAGATTCCTACATTTTTTGTCAGAACATGTTACCGAAAGTCACGAGTCAGAGCCAGTTGCCTCCATAGAGGAAGAAGATCTTGATAATGTGGCAGAGGTGTATGACCCATCTGATAGAGATGAAGGATCAGTCGTCGAAGATGAGATTGTTGAACCCCTGATTGAACCGAGGCAGACTGAGATTCTTTCCAGTGGTGAAGCAGCTCCTGTATCTCAGGAGGATGCTCCTAAGCAATCGTATGCTTCAATCGTGAGTTTATCCTTTATGTCTCACGTTGCCACCTTCCTGGACTCGGTTTGTCTTTCTTGATATCTCTTTTTCACTATGAAACCTTACAAGCTTGAGTTTTTTGCAGCTCAAACTGATGAAAAGTGGTCCGACCACATCCCATGTTGTTGCTGCCAATAAGCCAAAAGCAGCTCCTGTCAGCGACAACCAGAAGCAAACTGCTCCTCCCGCCAAACCTGTAGCATCATCGGAGGCTTTTCCCAGTAACGAGAATACTCCTGATAGTAGACATGTTAATGGAGAAGGTCAGTTTTCTTTTGTATCAGCAAGAGATTGTTTTGCTGTTGCAATACGAGCTTGCCAAGTTGTTGAATTAACGACCTTTACTCATTATAGACGATGGGCATTCGATCTATGTCCGGAATTTGCCTTTTTATGCCACACCTACACAACTTGAAGAGGCGTTCAAGAAGTTTGGACCTATTAAGCATGAAGGGATTCAAGTCAGAAGCAATAAGGTTCGATTGAAATATTTCCATCTCATCTCTAATTCCAAAAAGCCCTCAAGTCATTAGATTCTTACCCATCTTGTATTCCTTTCCAGCAAGGCTTCTGTTTTGGTTTCGTTGAATTCGAAACATCTAGCGGCAAGCAGGCTGCACTCGAGGTACCATTCCCTCAAATCTTCTTAGCCCTCCCTCCCTTTTTATACACCTTCTTGAACTCATTTTGGGCTTATGGTTTGATGTGAGAGGTTGCCATTTTCGTGTTGTATAATCCGTAGGCATCACCGATTACAATTGGAGACTGTCAAGCAGTTATAGAGGAGAAGAATACGAACACTAGAGGTAAGTTGGAATATTCAGAACATCCACCTACAGTTTCCACGAAGCGAGGCATATATTTCACGGTTGAACATGTCTGATCCCTCGTTGATCTTTTCTTACAGTCAGCAGCAGCAGCACGGGAAGGGGGAGATATTCTTCAGGAAGAGGAAGCTTCCGGGCCGACAGTTTCAAAGGTGGCCGCGGAAGAGGAGGGTATGGCAGAGGTGAATTCAGAAGCCAAGGCGAGTTTTCAGGCCGACCCAAGGGTTCAAACCAGAGGAATGGAGTAGAGGGTTACCAAAGGGTTCATCAAAACGGAGGTGGAAGAGGAGGAGGGCGAGGTGGTGGTGGTGGTTCATCTTGACGGCTCTGAGATGTGATTGTAACGTTTTTGGATTAGAGAGGACCAAGAAGACACTGAAGATTTACAACCCAACATTTTTTTTGTTCTGCATCTTCTGTGGCTTGAGTTCATCTGTTAAGGCTTGATTTTTTGTTTCTCGGTCTAGGTTTTTCAATATTTTTATTTTGCCCTTCTTCATCGATGTTGAGTACTCTATAAAGATTCAATTTTTACGAGGAATCCATGATAAAGTTGTGTTATTTACTTCTTTTGTTCAATCTTTCAAACCTGTCCCTTCTTGTTGTCAGTGTTCAGTGTCTTCTCCAACTTAAGCCGAGATTCTTGTACCGGTTTTACCAGAGATAAACCACAGAGAGGTTTTTGCATCCAGATGAAACCAGATGCATCAACATGATTGCTGAAGTAAAAACCGACTATACCAATCCATATACATACACGAAATATGGTGAATAACTTCTCGATTAACTGCAAACAGGAAGAAAACCGAGCCGAAACCGGTTGAGCTAACCAGATTTCTGCAGATTAGAGACAAAACTAGAAGCAGCAAAAGCAGCAGAGCCACCAAGAACAGAGGCAAGGGCGACCACAACCTGAACAACAACTTCCCAGGTGTAGTCCTCAGGGACAATGTAGACACATACCGGACCGAGAAGCAGCAACAGAAGGCTCAGACCGAAGAGGGTTCCGGGCGTTTCGGGGTTAGTGGCTGCGGACAAAATACCGAGCTCCTCTGCCTTGGATAGCAAGCCAAGACGCTCAATGGTCGACAGAGAGAAACCGGATTTCTCGGCCAAGGACAAAAGTCCGGCCCTTTCGGCTTTGCTGAGGAGTTTGAGCTGCTCGACTCTCGTTAGCAGCTTCACCGGCGGTGATGCGGTGGTTGATGAGTTGCTTCGCCGTGGACCTGGCTCTCCCAGAGGAAAAACCACCGAGTTCTGCGGGAAAACATGGATCAGACGGGAATATATTGTCGGAAAAGATGTGTAATATGTATGTATACCTTTTTGGAGCTTACAGTTCTTGCCGTGGACGGAGAAGGCTTCTGGGTCGCCATGGAACGAATCGAGAAAGACGAACAGATCGACTTCGCAGCCATTGCTGACCCCTCCTCTCTCTCTCTCTCTCTGGGCGCTTGAAGCTTTGTTCAGGAGCGAGCACAATAAGGACAGGATAAAGAAACAGAACTGGTGGGATTGTGTTGTCCACTTGTCAGTTTCTCATTGGGTTGCTCCCTCCACCTTTGGGTGAAATTGTTCGGCGTTGAACCGATGATATCTCTCCCTGTATTTACTTATTTGTTTTAACTAATGACCCATGTTCTTTCTAGGAGACTAGGAGTATTTGATAAGGCTAGAAATTTTACTGTAATAAAATCATATATATTCTAATGGACAAAACTGCAGCCGTGTATGTACACAACGATCGTCAGTCTCTCTCTCTAACAAGTAGGAAACGAATTCGAACAAACATGGAATGGAAAATAAATTACGACAAAAAGATTCTGACGGGTATTAGATCTGTGTCTTCTCATCAGAGAGACAGGGAGATGTGAAGAAACAGAGCTTCTTCTATCTCTTAGACTTCTTGAACGTTTTCTTGCCTTTGGTTCCAATGAATTTTCTATCACTCTCTTCCTCATCATCTCCTCCCCTTCTCTTCTTCCCTCCTGTTCCTTTCATTTTCTACACATTAAGAGTACATTGCCAAACCATGCATAAGTCCTATAACTAGAGAGAGGACCTTCCATATCACTGTGGAGGGCTTATGGGAGATGCAAAAGTGAATTACCATTGCTGACAGTCTTTTGGCTTCAACAACTCTCTCCAACAACGATAACACTTCCTCTTCTGCAGCTGGATACTCGGGTAACTTCTTGCCTGAAAATATGGCATGGCCGCCATTCATTTCAACTCAATCAAGGGTGTAACAAAGGCATTGTGCTTCCAACCATATTTGGACTTACCAATGAGTTTCTCTATTTGCAAGTACCACTCCAACTCGTATTGGTTCACGAGTGATATCGCTACCCCTGAACGTCCAGCTCGTGCAGTTCTACCAACTCTGTGTATGTAATCCTATAATCCCGATATGACAAATTTTGAAAATGAGTCAGAAGGTCCACATTTTCAAAATCAGTAGAAAATGGTGAACCAAGAATTGAACTAACCTTTGAATTTGTGGGGATATCGTAATTAATAACCACATCGACTGACGGGATATCGAGCCCTCTACTCGCCACATCAGTACAGACAAGGACTTTGCATTCCCCAGCTTTGAACTTATTCAAGGCTCCAAGTCTCTTCGACTGGAAATATCTCACAGGCAAAAAAAGCACAAAACTTTAGATAGATAATCAGGCCAATCGCAAGGAGGAGGAATCAAACTTGATTTAGCAATTACCTGAGTCATTTGTCCACTGATTGGAATGGCGCTAAAACCAAGGCTCCGGAGCATTGAAGCCAAGAAGCCAGTACTCTCACATGTCCGAGTGAAAACCATTGACGTGGATCCAGACATTTCACTCAGAATGTACACAAGATAACAGTCCTATTACCAGAAAGAAAGCTCATTAGCTTGGGGAAAACAAAGTAACATTTGGGTTATCATATTACCATGAAAGTGGCAGCCCTGTGATGAAAACTAGGTTACCTTGTATTTAGCAGCGATAAACCGATACTGCTGCTTTAGAGATTCAACAGTAGAGTACTTGGAGTCGGCTTCAATCTGGAAGGACAGAAAGAAATACAAAACGGTCATACCACACGAGCGACAGTTGCAGTTATGAGGAACAGAATAAACTGTGTAGCATTTCTCAAACCTTCACAGGATTCTTTAGACATGCTCTTTGAAGCTTCTTAACCTGGACAATAACACAACAAATTCATATCGCTATAATTTATCTGTAGTAAATGAGCACTAACGAAGAAGGCTTGGAGATGTATCTGTGTAGGTGCCAACCTTTTTGGTCATCGTAGCAGAAAAAAGAAACGTTTTCCGCTCACGAGGGATCTCATCCAAAATCATGTCCAGAGATTTCTCAAAATCCTCATTTAGCAGCCTGTCTGCTTCATCTAGAACCTGTTGACAATTGTGAATTGATTATCTAGATGATAGTAAAGGAAACAAAACAGACCATAGTGATACATCTTCAACAAAAAAGGTTAAAAGTCTGCTGAACGAAACAACATACATATAGTATCATCAATGATGCAAATCAGATTTTATTATCCTCATCCATGGAGGACAAATTACCAGATATTTTAATGTCCTCAAAGAGAAGCCTTTTGTATCAGTCATATGATCCCAAAGACGACCAGGTGTAGCAACCTATAAAACAACATGAAGAAAAAGCTTACAGACTGATGAAAATTTAGTAATATATCTCACGATAAAAAAGGGAGATCCAACCAGATGATCCTATCCTTGGGAGAGAATGTAATTGAATACAAACTCACAATAACATGAGGCCGTTTGCCAAGCACAATAGCTTGTTGCATCTTGTCCATACCTCCAACAAGCTGAAAATCAGGAAAATTTCTGTTTAAATCATAAATCGATTCACAGCTTGAGGATTTCCACTATGGTAAACAAGCTTTACTCAGATGCTTACCACAGCACATCTAAGACTTATATCAGATCCAAGGGCTTCAAACTGCTCAGCAATCTGAATAGCAAGCTCTCTGGAAAGCATAAAGTTAACAGCATATAAAGAAAAAAACTGAGCTACCTAGAGATGAAAAGAGATCATAAACTCCAGATGATAAACATAGTTTCAGAAACTATACCGAGTTGGAGATAGAACACAAGCGAAAAATGCTGGATCGGGTCTACGCCCTTTCTTAGGCTCAGCATTGTTGACATACTCAAGGAGTGCTTGCAATATGGGCAGTGCAAAAGCTCCTGTCTTGCCAGAACCTGTTTGTGCAAGTCCAATCACATCTTTCCCTGAAGAGCAAATCAACACTTTTAGCATCTCAGAAGACAAAAAAAATCCATGCTTTGCGTCTTACAAGACAGACAGACATGCAAAAGCGGACATCACAAGCCAATTATCCAAGGAAGGGTATTTTACTACATTGAAATTACAATTTAATCGGTGAAAGCATAGTTCTTTGTTGATCTTTCGATCAAGCCCAACCGCACAATTCAATCGTACGACAACATTAAGGAGAAAAAATTCAGGGTTACATTAAGAAAAAATATTAAGGAGAAAATTTTGCATCAGACAACCATGTCGTTCATCTGATTCAAAAAACGCATTAGGGTCGAGCAAACTCTACCTTGGAGAGCATGAGGAATAGTTTCCGATTGAATCGGCGTCGCGTTCTTCCATCCCAACCTATCGCAGGCTTTCAACAGCTCCTCTCTCAAACCCAAATCTTCAAACGAACTTGGGCGCGCCTCGGCTAGAGGCGTGTTCCCGTCTCCGACACACAAGTCGTCATTGGTGTCTGAAGCTTCCGGCTTCGGATTCTCCATAGGATTCATCTCTGCGGCGGCTCCGATGTCGGAATTCACCCGTTGGTCGGAGAGAGAAGCAGACATCACTGTCGCGAGAGAGATGCCGAAGGTTACTGACTAGGTTAAGGTTTTTCGGCCGCTCTACTTGGAGAGGAGAGTCCTATTTAATAAGGAAATTATACAATCTATTTGTTTCCAACGAATCCAGTTCAATTGGGGATAAGAGTTTTAATATGTCCATAACTTTAGGGACTTGAATGAAATTAATGGGAAATTAAGGGTAGTCTGGTAATTTTGTAAACCCCCAAACCCCATGAAACTATGAAATTGACGCTAACAAGCGACCACTTCCCGAATCGGACGAAAAACCCTAGAACTTCTGTCACCGAAACCAGACGATCGAAGGTCCGATTACGACCAATAATGGCGGTAACAGTCGTCTCGATCGAGAATCTGAAAGCTTTCTGGCACTCTCAGGTCCACGACGAAGAGAAATGGGCCCTCAACATGGTATTTCTCTGCTCTTCTCCTTTTACGTCGTGTCGCTGCTTTCCTTTGGATCCGAATTCGCTTGTAGAGGCTGATTTTTACGTTCTCGAGAAGCGATCCTCGGTTATTTCCGTTGTTTCTATCTAATTTTTGGGTCTTATCATCATTTCTGATCTGGGTTTCTTCTGAATATTACAAAGGTTTCGATTTGTAGAAAATTTGCTCTGTTTCGTATGTTTTGAATCTATGTTAAATATCATAATTCAGGCTGTGATTTGTTCAGAACGCGAATGAAGTGTTTCGAATTTGTATCTCACTTAGGCAATTGCTGAACATCTCAAAGCTCGTTCACTGTTAAACGGTTCTCTTCTGTATTTTTTCCATGTAAAGATGGCATCGATGACAAGAATTTGTCAAAACTCAAATCAGAGTTTTCTGGTGGGCGTAGTATAATTTGGTTAAATGAGTGGGATACTGTTTTACCTAACTATGCATAATTTTTGTTGTGGCTAATGGTTGAATCCCCCCCCCCCTTTTGGCATAATAATGGAGGATTTCAGGTTTTTGTTTCATGCTTTTTGTCTTCTGCATTCTTGCTTAAGTGGCTATATGAGAAATCTAGTGTCATATATCTCCCATAAGTAAATTGGTTTTCGCTTCTTTGATCGTTCATGAGTCAGTTCATGACTGTTCTTGCTTTAGTAGCCATGCTGTTAGGAGATGGGGTTCATCTTAAAGCATGGGTCTTGTGTTGAATGACATTCTTTTGCTTATGATTTTGTCTATTCAGTAGTTTTTTTACCGCTCTCACAAAGGGTTTCCTTTTCACTTTCTGCAGAAACTTCTCCGGGCTACTGGACTGTTTGCAGGATCCATCTTTCTGATGCGTAGCTATGGTGATCTCATGGCGGTCTGAGTGATATAAGGAAAGATTCCTTCTTAGGCTACTTTTCTCAGTATTTGCATTACTGTAATGGGCATTTTGTTACAACTGATATGAAATGAAAGTTGGCACCATAAAGATGCGATCCATGTGATCACATTTCTGCAGTGTCTCCTTTCATGAAGTTTTGTGTCTGCATTTATAACGTTCTTCACTAAATAAGTCCAAAATCGGAGTTTTTGTTTGAGTAGAGCATCATCTGCATTCCGATGATTTGGTTTTTGTGTTTCAATTGTTAACTTCTGATTTTCTGCTGAAGAGATCGGTTTTATAGACACATGAACAAATAATTGGATGGCAAGTCAAAATTTAAATATATAAACCCTAATTTCTAAAGTAAACAATGTACCGGCCGCAGAAAAGCTTATACATAAAGCCAAAGTTTGAGACTTTGGCCAATTTCACAACCTGGGTTAAGCCAAAAAAAAAAGCAATGTCCTATTTCCTAATATAAAACACGAATTCACCACCTTGCTCGCAGAAAGAAACAGGAGGAACTAGAACTGCTGAGAAGTCTTGTTCTTGGAGATGTCTTCAAGCAGGAGTCTTGTTTCAGCAGCAAAATCAACTGGAGCTACACTTTTTACGGTTATCCTCTGCCTCTTCTCGCTGTTATACTCGTGTTGGGAGACACTGACACGGAAGACATGAGATGCCCAGGTAGCCTCTTTCAGTTTTGTCTGAAACTCATTAACTTCCCCTTCCTAGAATTTAAAAAAAAAAAAGAGAGAGAGAGAGAGACAAAAACTTTAGCCATTTCAGAACCCAGAAACCTGTTTTTGTTTAACCAGTTCTGTTACCTCAGATTTTAGTTTGTTGAGCTCCTCGGCTGGGCGACCAATAATCCTCTCTGCTTCTTCATTGAACGTAGACAACCAAGCTTCACCCGTTGAATCAGAAGCTTTCACGACCATTATGTATCTGATTATACACAGACCATAAAGATGAGTTTACAGAGACACAATGGATCCGTTACTTAATGATAGGATTTGTGAATATGGTGGATTCATCTCACCTTAAGTTACATTCCTCGTCAGTTTTCTGACAACCTTCACACCAGTAACCAGAGCCAAACGCCTCTGTTACTTTCTTGTTACAGGTTTTGCAAGCACGATACCACATTGTCTGTTCAGGCTTGATGAAGCTTATGTAAGCTCTAATGCTGAAAAATACAGGCTGTGACAGGAACCCAGGTTCATAATTAGTGCACATCAAAGCAAAAGGTAATATTTTTTTTTCCCGAGTTCCAAAGATTTTAATGTTTTAGTACCTTCTCCTCTCCTAGAGATGGGTTGCTGATGACGTGAGAAAGAGGAACTCGGTCAGAGTACATAGATCTTGATCCATTTTTGGCAGAAGGGCTCATACCAGAGCCAATGGCGGACATGGATACTTCCTTTCCTTCAGAATCATACCTTCAAACAAGAGAAAGTAGCGGATTAGCAACTCGAACAAACCCAAATCTCCTCTTTTAGAAGATCAAATAAAAAAAGACATACCAAGATTTCAACTTCTTAGCTTCTGGTAGATCAGGATTGACCACCACATTGCTTCTTCTGATTGTGGACAATGAAACGCCTACAAAAATGGCTTCCCATCAGCAACAAGTTCAAAGAATTTTTATTTCAGTCATTTGCCGGTTCTCAGACGTCCAGAATTACCTTGGAAATCTCCTACTTTGAGGGACTTGATCGCAACTACTGGTGATTTGTCAGCCATGTCCAGAAGTTCTTGTCCTAAGCCAGTGGCCAGGTCATTCCAGAGGGAAACAACAACTGTTTTCTTTGATTCATCAGCCACAGTTATATCCCTCTTGGGAATCATCTCATTGTCATTCCTCCTCCTAATACTCATTGTTGGAGAAACACTTTGAACAACACCAATGACATCTGTAAAAAAACACATTCGAAAGGCCCTTATCATTATGTATCAATCTTTAAATTACCTGAAACAGAGAAGTTTTGTGAAAAAGTAGATAGTATTACCAACAAGCTCCTTCTGATTTATGTATGCACCCAACTCATCAATGGGCACAAAATTGAATTTTGTCTCAGGTATAAACGTTTCTTCATTACTAGCTTCCTCAACGTCAGCATTCTCATTCAGAGTCATCTCATAATCGTTCGGAACTGTCTTGAACTGCTTATTAGCAAGTTTAAGCACGCCCCTTGAAATGTAATAGACCTTTCCCAACTGAAATCTGTCATAAAACTTCCTTGCTGCTTCATTGAACATGGTAGCCTGAATTTGGGTTCCCTAAATTTCCCAGAAAAGAATAAATCACCACATATAGTTGAAATCACAATCGGAAATTATAACGTTCTTGGAAGGGAAGTAGTCTTACTTCTTCATCGGTTAGTTCAACATTAAAGACGCATCCCTCTCCTCTGGCGTTTCTGTAAGTTCTCATGACTCCTTTGTTTGTGACTCGGACTTTAATGGTCCAGTTTCCTTGGTAAGGGTTCAACGAAACAAGCGGATGAACCCTCCTTGTCATGGCCATTCTTGCAGCCGGTGCCCCACTGAGTAATATTCACGAGATAATACAATATTAAATAGACATTCATTACAGAATTAACAAAATTCTAGTGAGATGTCCAAATCACTGACTGAGCAAAAAATATTCTTACTTTCCACGTTGTTCATTGATAATCTGAGAGGCTGATTTAGCAACAAATTTTTGCTTTGGCTTCAACAAATTCATCCCATTTGATGCATCAGCCTCTTGCTTTGGCTTTAAGGTTACACTGGTGTCCTCAGTCTTGATGTTGGCCTTAATCTCTGATTCGAGGGCTGAAGCAACTGCCTCGCATTTTGTCACAAGCAAATATCTGCTTGACAAAAATCCAAGAACGATAAAAGGGAAAAAAGACAAGAAAACATAAGTTAGTACCCTAGCTCAAATATCCAGCAATAGAGTTCTTTGTTCATGGAAAGGGCAAAAGAGTTGCTTACTTCTCCGATTTGCTTGGGATATCATTGACGGTATAATCAAGCAGACGAATTAGACCCAGGTTCTGGATCTTGCCTGAGATTATATCAGAAGTCAAAGTCCCTGGGAAAATTGCCTTAACCCTCATCTTCCCATCATTGGCACTAAAACTGTGATGCAAAGATGGGTTTATCAGAACATTACATATCTGACTAAAGAGAAATCCAGCAGGTGACAATAAGGACGAATTCGAGAATCGTAGATATACAACCACAAACTTAAGACTCAAACAGACAAGAAGAAACCGGCAAAAATCTAACGCATCACGTCCCTTAAGTATCAAATCAATCGAGAGAGTCAAATCGTGAGCTGGAAAAGGAAAATCATACTTCCAAAGCTCCTTCCAAACAATCAGGTGCAACCATTACCAATACCATGAAACACACAATCAATCTCTTGAACTAGCAAGTCAACCAGGAGAACCACAAATCCAAAGCCAGAAGGAGCAAACCAAAACCACATGCGATCTCGTAACAAATCAAGCGCGACCCAGATCATAAAACACCAAGACAATCACGCGATACACAAATCTAGGAAGAATAACGAAAAAAAGAAACTTACGTGTATCGATTTCCTGTAGGCTTGAGATCCACGACCTGCACGACAATCTCAGGCCGATCCGATGACGAATCGAGAGAAGTTTAGTTATTTATTCAGTATATTTTATAAAGTAGAGATAGTTATTATATAAGAGTTTTTCAAAACTATATTAAGCAATTTTTATGTGATCATTTTAGATTTTTTTTATAATGATTGTGTAATGCCTTGAAAATATTATGGAACGTTGAAACTGATCTCACCGATCCATACGAGATCTTTCATCGTAATTTGTCCCCACACATACATCGTAAAAAATATTTCTTAGGAGATCACTCATCTTTATACTACTTCAAAACGAATACGTTTAACTTTGGAGTTCTCCCGTGCCAGGATAGACAAACCGATGAGGTAGATGTAGGTAGATATACTTTATTTGTACGAATTCCGATCCAAATCTCAGACTTCACACGCAGAATCTTCTATCGAAACGGATAGCACAAAGATGAGAATGGAGCTAATGAAGGCAAATGAAGGGTTTTGTAAACGTAGAATCCCGCGGGAGCTTTTAAATTCAACTAATTACTCCCGCCGATGATTTCATCTCTCTTATTTATTTATTTTTTTTCATTTTTTCCGTTTCTTTTTCAATATTTCAAAAAATTCCCGCTTCCTTGCTTCTTGGATTTAGTATTTTTGGCGCTTCAACGTCGAACCCTCTGGTTTATCTGGAAGATCTAGTATATAAAACAACATTCACTATTTATTTTTTATTCGGTAATTAAATTTAGGGTGTCAATTTCGGTACGAAATTAGGTTCGACCAAGCCCGAAAAATAGTGGGCTTCGAGCTTAAATATCTCAACCTTTCGAATTGGGTTTAGATTGGACTTTGGTGGATCCGAAAGTCCAGTTTTTTTATAAAAAAATAATTTTTTAAAAAAATAAATTTTAAAAAATAAATTTAGTGGGTCGACCCGATTTGGTCTGAATCCAAACCCAACATATAAAGATTGAGTTTCGGGTTTGATTATTTAAGCTTAAAAAAATCGGACCGATCCGAATCCGAGTCTAGGACTCTCGGACCGACTAGGGACTCGGATCGGATCGATCGGATTGACACCGCTAATTAAATTATCATCACTTCCCTACTCGATATTTAAAATACTTAACCATATATTTCTTTTCTTACTGTTATATTACTTGAATAGTATGAAAAATGTTTTAAAAAGTTGCATTCTAACTCTATCTTGTGTTTGAATTATATCGTTTTATAATATGGTTTCATGACATTTTCTATGCTAAAACTCAATATTGTAAGATGTCAACAAAAACGATACCATATAAGATTAATTTTCCATCTAAGGAAATGTCAGTAATACAGTCGTTATTTATTAATCCATCAAAAGGCCAGAGTCCATGAAAGGATATATAAAATAATTGTTGAAAAGCAAAGATTGGAAATAAATATGTCAAATATTTTTTCTAATTGTGAAAATAATTGAACTGCACGAAATAAAAACCTTTTTTTTTTGGCTTCCGTGATATTAATTTAAAATATTATTATATTTCGGAAAAAATGGTTAGATAATGATATTTAATATATTTTGACCAAGTGATCTGCATCGGAGAACATTGTTTCCTCTCCCTAATATTTTTTTTCATCACTCCTCTCTAATATTTATAATTTGTTTTATCTAATTAATCATATAAATATTGATTTGAACCAAAGTTATTTGGCTTTGAGACAAACATTATATTACATATAAAAAAGTTGTTAAAACGCATAATCAAGAAGTTATAAAACCGAGGTAAAAACACTTTAAAAACCACAATATATTGTATCACCGACCAAAATTGATAAATATATTGTCATCGATTTACTACTAAGGTAGTAATTTAGTAATTATAATCATTATTCGATTATAATCTGTTTTTGATATCTTCCTAAGTAAAAATTTAAATTTTAGCATTTTATGAGATAGCGAGACAATTCTTTGATTTATTTTCTTGTGGCAGACAAATACAATTTTGACTGGAATATTGTGCATGTCTCTATCATGCAACTCCAAAAAAATCGAAAAGTTCTATTATTTTCCATATCAATACCATAATTTTAAATATTTTATTTTGATATGCACGCTTTCAATAATTTATATTTTTGGACCTGTATTTTTAAAGTTATACAAATAATAGCATTTAAAACCATGGTTTTACAATGTAGGAATATACATAAAGCTATACTGCTTTTTTTTTTAATTTATTCTACAAATAATTATCTCCGTATTTAATTTGCAGTATATTATTTAATTAGATATATGGTTGATAATGGTCCAGATAATCTATTTGTGTTTGGTTATGCAGCAGTCAAATTTTTAAATTAGTTTTGGCAATACATTTATTTTATTGAAATCTGGGAAAAAAATTTATTTCAAATTGTTAATATGTTGAAAATATGGATTTCAATGACATAACATAAATGGTAATTCAAAATTTTATTTATTTCAATAAATCAAAGATATTAATTATCTATTCTGTTTTATTTTAAGTGTATTCTCGAGGGAAACATGAATGGAGGCAATGGAGCTGCACACTGTAATCACTTCATGCCAAGGGAAAAAAAAACAGGATTATTAGGTCAATTATAACAAAAAAGGGTCAGATTGCACGTAAAAACTTATGGGTAATATTTGGAAACAATTGAAATTAGTGGGGCTATTGTCGAAACTTATGTTCCTCGCCCCAAAATTTCCGTCATTGTCTGAAGTCAACGACCGATTGGATCTCCCCGTAGATTTGGGGGACCATAAATCTCGAAGAGTTTTTTTATTTTTTGTGAATTTCCGGGCATATCATCATCTGCGAAGTTTCAGATTGGACTTCCTCGTTCACCCTCTCAATTCTCCGACTTTCTTATATAGATTTTGCGTTCACCACTGACTTTTTCCCTTTCTTCTCCTCCTCCTCCTTCCTGTTCTTCTCGCCCTTGCGATCTCTCTCAAAGTCTCTCTGTCTGAATTTTTGGAATTTCGTTTTCTCTGTAATCTTTGATCATATCAAGGAGAAATCAGAAGATTTCTGATCTTTTTTTGGTGGGTTCTGGTCGTTCCTCGCAGACGACTTTGGATTAAGGTTGTTTCTCGGTAAGTAGCTCTGTCTTGGTCGCCAAGTGTATGTTGAAATGTCTCAACGAGAGCCAAGAACGGTGATCTTGGCTTTATTTTCGTGAATTCAACGTGTTTATCTAAGCACTTCGTTATTCTTTACAGAAGAAAGGAGGAAGAAATCTTACTGGGATTCTGGGAAAGCTGTTGACTTTTTTTTGGTTGATCGGTCATAATCCTGGCTTTTTTCTATGATCCGCATGGTTCTTTGAGGGCGAAAACATGCGTGGTTTGGACAGGGCTTCATCGATCATTCACTTTACCGTTCATGAAAAAGTATGATAAGCTCATCTTGTAGTGGGTTTTACCATGTTCATGTGGGGATTTCTGCTCCTGTCTGTTTATTTCATACCGGGCTCTGTTTAAAGACGGTACCTTGAATTGTTCTAAGTCTACTTCTCAGGTCAGGTTTACTTCCATTTCTATACCACAAATCCACGATACAAACCCTTCACATATTTCCTTTCCCTGCTCCGTATAAAGTTATTTTTTTTCCTTGAATTCAATTCCTCTCTCTGATCTCTCATGGGTTTATCAAACGATCTCCTTTCTCTTGCTCCTCTTCCCAGGATATTTTCTTGAACAGTATCGATGTGGTGAAGATAAATACAGGTTCTTTCTTAGTTTCCGTAACGAAGGAGGCAGCTAGATTTTGTTGTTAGGATTGTGGGAGGTTCAGATCTGTAAATTCCCTCGTCCAGCTCTTTTTTCCTTTGATTGAATATGGCAGAGTTTGAACCCGAGATTCCCATTTCAGAAGTTAAAAAGCAGGTGTTTGTGGCATGTCACCACGTTGTTAAGGCACTGAGGGCATCAGACAATAATCTTGATGCCAACTTGAGTAAGCTTCTTACTGATCTTGACTCCTACTTGTCGAACATGGCAATCGAGTCAAAAACTGAGGTCACAGGATTTATCGAGATTGAGGACCAGTTCAAGGAAGCTGAGAAGAAAATACAGAGTTGGGAATCAAACCAATCGATGATATGGGATGCTGGACCTATCGAAGCAGATCGATTCCTTCAAGCTGTATATGAAATTCAGACAATTCTCACAGGTCTCAAAGGTATACCTACCAAAGGTAATGGGAAGGAGAAGGATGTTTACAATCGAGCTACATTGGCTCTTGACATTGCCATGTCGAGGCTTGAAAAAGAGATCTGTGATGTTCTATACAAGCACAAAAGGCATGTACAACCTCGGTACATGGCTATTAGTTCCCGCAGGGTGGGAACTGTTAATGGAGATTCCTCTGACTCCCTTGAGGATGAAGCTGATAGTGAAGGTTTGGGTGAAAATGAAAGGACGTGGGAACAGGAAAACACTGATTTGGTTGATCCCACCATTGTTCCTCACATTAAGGCTATTGCTAATGCCATGTTTGCATGTGACTATGGCAGAGAATTCTGTGGGGCTTTCAGCAATGTTCGGAGATGGGTTCTGGAAGAGTACTTGACCATGCTGGAAATGGAAAGATTCAGCTGTGGGGATGTCCTCGGAATGAAATGGGAAGATTTGAACGATGCAATCGGGAAATGGACAAGGGTCTTAAGGACTATCATCTGGGTCTATCTCCCCGGTGAAAAGCAGCTATGCGAACAGATCTTGGGGGAATTTGAATCGGGGTTCTCCTCTTGCTTTATCGAGATCTCGAGAGATACAATCTTCTCACTCCTGAACTTCGGAGAAGCAGTGGCCATGGAGTCTCACACGCCTGAAAAGCTGGACCGCTTGCTCAGCATGTACGAGGTTTCAGCAGATATTCTCTTGGATGTTGATAATCTGTTCCCTGAAGAAACGGGATCATCTCTCAGAATAGCTTTCCATCAGCTCTCAAAGAATCTGGCTGATTGTACAAGGGAGGCATTCTTAAACTTCCGAGAAGCTGTCGCATCTAATGAATCTTCACGTGCCTTTTCTAGAGGTGGAATCCATCCCCTCACCAAGTATGTAATGAACTACTTCATGCTCCTCCCGGTTTATACCGATACTCTGAACTCACTGCTTAGGGACTTGGAAGTTGATGATTCGGTTGGCATCTTTGAGCCTGAGAAAACCGGAAAAGACATTCCTCCTTCAACGTTTTCTCCAATGGCTAGGCATCTCCGCTCGATTGCTTCAGTGTTGGAGGCCAGCCTCGTCAGAAAAGCACAGCTATACACGGATGAGTCACTCAGTTACATCTTCATGATTAACAATCTTCATTACATGGTCCAGAAGGTTAAGGAATCCGAACTGAGACAAATCTTTGGAGACGAGTGGATTAAGAGACGCATTGCTCGGTACCAACACTATGCCACAAACTATGAGAGAGCCACTTGGAGTCCTATACTGTCTTTGCTTCGAGACGATAACTCTAAGACTGTCCTGAGGGAAAGATGCAGGCTTTTCAGTGTCGGGTTCGAAGAGGTTTACAGAAACCAGACATGTTGGTCTGTTCCAGATCCTCAGCTTCGGGAAGATCTACGAATCTCGACTTCCGTTAAGGTAATTCAGTCTTACTGGGGCTTCCTGGGGAGAAATGCCGCTCGTATAGGCGAGAGGCATGTCAGATACACATCCGAAGACATCCAGAATATGCTCTTGGACCTTTTCGAAGGATCCCCGAGGTCATTGCGTAACTCTCGTAGGAGATGAGATTATGTCCGGAAAATTCTTTCAAAGATGATATGTCCGACCATCATCTGTCAGTTTTTTAACCTCTTTTTCTTGTCATGTTTGTGATTGCAATACCTGTAAATAAGGCTTTGTAGATTTCTCTCATTGCCTCCAGCTCGAACTTCAGCAGGCAAAATATGTCAATGTACTCATATTTCTTCATTAATCATTTTTGTAGCTTTGTTTGTGAATCTACTTGTTCCTGTGCTAAATCGAGGAATTTTGCAGTAATTCATCGAGAAAACAGAGCAATTCAAATTATTCAATGAAAAGATTGACACTTTACTGGACATGAATATCGAATATCATACATCTGCACTTGGGAATTTTGCACGTGGAAGACTTTTCTAAATATATCTCTAGATTCACAGTGGAGATTAATTTCAACGGACAGGATTAACTGACAACAAAATCAACGGACAAGATCGTCAAAACCTCAACGCACAAACCCTGCCACCCAGATACAGGTTTTAGTTTGAGGAGCGAGAATTCAGGAAGGAAGAGCAGCAGAGACTGCTGAAGTATGCTGCTCTTGACGATCATTTCTTCCTCGTAAACTCTAGAATCGGGCTAAATTTCTGATTTTTTTTTTTGTTTTTGTTTTCGTGCTTTGTCTTCTCTTGTTGATCTCTGGTGTCATTATTCCGTTTGCCCTCTTGGGATTTTGATTGATCTGGGTTCAAAGGGCGGTCATTTCTTTTGTTGTTGCTTTTCTTTTCTTGTCTCTGCTGTTCTTTCCATGGCTTAAATGCTTCGGCTTTAGTTTTGCTGTGATATTTGCTTTCCATGGCGTAAATTTTTTATGTATTGTTCTTGAGAAGAGCAAGGCTGTGTTGCTGGGCTTTTTTCTGGTTTTCAGGCTTTTGAAGAGAAAACCAAGCGAATATAAACTACGCGTTGTATGCAAATTCCCTTGTGTTTCGATGAATGTGTGATAAAGTTTTGATTTTTTTTGCTTTGAGTGTTGTAACCTTCTTCTATTGCTTTGTGGGTCGCTTGGGTTTTTAATCAGCAATGGCTTTCTTCAGCAAATTCGGGAACATACTGAAGCAGACAGCGAGCAAGCAGCTCAATGGCCAGAGCTCTTTATCAAGCCCTTCGATCTTCCAGACAATAAGGTGCATGTCATCTTCACAGCTCTTTATTGGAGGTGAGCCTAGTTGACCAAGCTGGACTTTCCAGAGATCTTTTTTGTCACTCCGTTTCACTAACTTGCGAATCTGTTGCAGGTATTTCGTATGACACAGATGAACAAGCCTTGAGAGAAGCTTTCTCTAGACACGGTGAAGTCGTTGAAGGTACCTCTTTTTGCCTTTTTCAGACAGCTTCCTAGTATTCTGGAAAGTAGGATAGGAGCTTCAATGCTTAAGTTGTCATTTTAAGTTACTTGGTGGCTTGGTACTGAACCAACTGATATGATCTCCTCCAGCTAGAGTTATTGTGGATCGTGAAACGGGTAGGTCAAGGGGCTTTGGCTTTGTCACATACACTTCTTCTGAGGCGGCCTCCAGCGCTGTCCAGGCTCTGGACGGGAAGGTACTATCTGATTTACCGGTCATTGTTCTCGTTCTTTTGTTGTGTTGACATGCGGATTCTGCACAAATGCAGTTGACATACTCGCACTGATCTGCAGGATCTGGACGGTAGGTATATTAGAGTGAAGTACGCGACCAGAAAATCAGGTGGCTCCCATAGTTCTGGGTTTGGCAGAAACTATGGCGGCTATGGAGGCAGCAGTGGTGGTTACAGATATGGAGGTGACTTCCATGGCAACTAGCTCGGAAACAACAACCAGTTTGATGTCGGCAGAAACAGGGATGGATTTGCACAAGAACATGACAACAATGATGACAACAATGTTGCCAAAAGAGCACGAGGATTCATCACATGAATCTTCTGATGGGTTCAGCTTATGTTTTTGTTTTAACCCCTCAAATCTTCCTTGTAATCTTCTTCCTCCATACTTATATCGAGATTCAATAACCATTTTCCTGTCCAATATGCTTAACCATTGCCTAATACACTTCTAAACTATAATTGTCAATTAGTGTCCCCTGCATGAACAAAGAGCAGACAGAGCCAAAGAGAAACCATAATCTACCCTTCCACATGTACAATATGTCCATCAATACAAAATACCAAATAACATTTAAACATCAAATCACTTGGAAACCTGACTGAAGGCTTCAAAAAGGATCAGAGAGGTTTCAAGGTGGCATTCTCTATGTAAGCCTTGGCTTCTTCTTCAGAGAGCCGTCCTCCTTCTACAAGGCCTCTTATCAGAGTGTTGGCATAGGCTTTCGCTGGAGGACGGAGAGGGAACTCTCCGGTTTTGAACTTCTCAACATGAGAAAGTGGACATCTGTTGTGGATCAAGATCGGGAAAAACCCAGAAGATGAAAACGATCAAAATGTCAAGAATCCAGAACTAGAATTTGAAGCACAAGATACAGAGAGGATCTTTCATGTTTTCTCCACATTATCGTGTCCTAATCAGGGGGTTTAACTTTTACTTGGTGTGATAACTGGAACAGAAAAAAGCAAAGGAGCAAACAAGAAAGAGTTGCATACGTCATTGTTAGTATAGGGATTCCACGTTCTTTTCCCAAGCAAACAACATTGCCGTACCATCCATTCTGCAAAACATCGATGTGTATACACGTGAGCATGTACGCCTGCATATATGTAAGAATGTGCAGAATGATGGGATGCATAGGCAGGCACTGTTTGACCATGAATGTCTGCAAGTATGCATACATATATGTATCCATTCATCTAAGCATGCGATCATAAACATTTGTATGAAAATAAAAACCTTTCTATGCATGTAACCAAGACGTTTGTACAGAATGATGGAACCTAAAATGGGAAGTGGGGAAAAACATGGGAGCAAACCAGAAATGCTTCTGATGATGACAAGGATCCTTTGTTCTCAATCAAGTCCAAAGCTGTCAGATCAAACAGCGGAGAATCAGCATCTACATTCAAATGGTTTTCCTGAAACAGAACATCGTTGAACTGCTCGAGCCTGTTGAAGATGAAACACAACATAAAAATCAGAAAACTAGAAAAAGTGAAGGTCCAGTTGATCAAACTACATTATCATTCTCAAGAATCAAAATGCTACAGAGAAAACTTACGTGATTCTGTACAAGCACATATGTGACTTCTCCTCAGGATTACTCTCGGGGTGGACAAAGGCAACTCCACCTTCTCCCCAAGTAACTGTAGATTCGTGACCGAAGAACAACCGATGTGGAAAAGTTTCCCACAAGATCTCTTTTGGGAGATTTTTATCCATTGAACCAACACATGCCCTTTTCATTCCTTCTGCCTGAACATAAAGGCAAGATTAAGTCGAGCTGCATGCCATTTTAATAGAAGCTTGAACTTAGAGAAAATTCTGGGGATTTTGGTTTTCGGATGTGAAAGTGGCGGCTTACTTGTCCCCCTAGAATATAACAAAGAAATCTCGGCTTCCACATGTTGGATCCAAACGTGGCATACCAAATGTCAACCTTTGCGAGATTGGTTCTCCAAAAGGTAGAAGCAGAATCAACTTGATCTGAGAGAATAGCATAAGCTCATCAAAATCATATAGTATACCACATGGCACATGGCAAGATCTTGCTTTAAAGTAGCTACCATGGTAGTCGCCAATGTTAAGTTTTTTTATTTTCTCCAAAATTTCCCGACCAAGAGCATCGATAGACTCTGGCATATCATGGGCCTCATCATCTTCGGTTTCAGACTCAGAACTTGAGATAAGCATATTCTGGAATGAACACACAGAAATACTTTTAAGATAGAAAGGGATCAAACAGGAGCAATAGCAAACGAAGCAAACTAGTAGGGAGCAAACTATGAAAAATGAATTTGGGAAATCAATCTGACAAGGAATGCTCCTCCATGGAAAGTGAAAAAGGAAATGTAGATAAGAGAAAGATATCAAACCGGGTTGGGAGCTTTCTGATCAATCAACGTAGATGGCAATTCATCTGCAAGAGATGGCCAGAAAGAGCACAACCTCTTGCGTACCTAAAACACAACAGTGGACAACCTTGGAGCTTTATGATATTCATGTGAGAGATGGAAAGAGAAATCCATTGCAATATAGGCTGATAAAGGAAGGTTTATTTCAGTCTCTGATAAGGGATTAATTAAGCCGTACTGCTTGTATGATACACCAAGTAGACTCGAATGGATACGCTTCAGAAGAACCCTGAATCGGTTTATCTTCCAGCAAAACTTGCAAACATGCAAGTGAACAATTTGCAATTGAATTAAGATTGTATCCTCCCTCTAACGCCAAAACAATCTTTCCTCGTGCAAACTCCATCAACTGAGAGAAAAACAATTCAAGAAACATAATAGGTTATCATCACAACAGTAGAGGGAGCATTGGAGCATGAATAGAAAAACAGAACAGAAGAAAGAGGTCATTCATTTCGAACAAGACCTTTTTCAGCATAACTGAGTATCCATATGGTGTAACACGACAGCCTCCAAGCGGATCACGAACAGCTGTTAACACATAACATGAAGCAGTCACAAAACATCCTTATGCAAAACAAGTGCTAAGAAAATAATTTCCATTGAATTCTACAATACACTCTATGCTCATCATCAATTATTGGTTGGGTGGGAAACTCTATGCATGTGTTTACTATACATATGTGATAGATAACAGGATAAAGCTTCATGGGCAATTGGGCATACATAGTAAGCATTTGTTTAACCCACATACCTGCATCGAAACCAGCTGACACCAAAATAATATCGGGATTGAATTCCTTTGCCACAGGAACCAAGATATGGTCCCAAACAGCAAGATAATCTGCATCTCCACATCTTCCATTCTCCCATGGGACATTTATGTTGAATCCTTCACCTGGACCTTCCCCAACCATGCTATAAAATCCATCATCACCTGACGGATAGAAGCTTCCAGACTCATGCCTGGCCAAAAGTACATGTCAAGAAAATATTCAAGCATATAAGTCAGATACATACAAGCTGAAAAGAAGTTTGGAAACATAAAAATGCTGAGGGCACATGTGATGGAAACTGGCTTATCACATCCATAACAAGGGCATAAAACAGTAACTCTTGCATAAAAAAGAAGAGTGTAAAAGTTAAACAGAGATCATGATACACACACACACATATATATCAGTATACCGATAACAAGGTATATAAAGAAGACAGAATGCACAGACAATAATATCTTTACCTATGAACTGAGAAAAACAGAACATGGGGATCTTTCCAGAACATTTTCTGGGTACCATTGCCATGGTGGACATCCCAGTCAACAATCAAAATTTTCTTCACACCCAGATCAGGCTACATGAAAAAAATGACCATATCATAAGCAAAATAACTTGGCAAGAATAGAGAAGTGAAGTGATCAAACATCTAGGAATATACAAATCAAGTGGATCAGAATGTAAATAATAAGGGAAGAGATGTTCATTAATGGGAAAGACCTTACTCTCTCATTTAACAGAAAACTGGCAGCAACTGCCACATTGTTGAATAGACAGAATCCCATAGCTTCATCTGCCTCAGCATGGTGCCCCGGAGGCCTGACAATAGCAAAGGCAGAATCCAACTCTCCCTTGGCAACTTTCTCCGCCACCTATTAAGCACAAGAAACAACATCACCTATATCATGAACCAAAGAATTCAAAAGATTCTATTCTGGCCCAATACATGTAAACAATTTTTCCTTTTTTAATTTAGATAAGTGCAAAAAAATCAGTATATCCGATCAAGTTAGCATGTAATCTAGACTACAGGAAATGCACATGTCCATCCAGCACAACATTATGGAATGCTCTTTCTGCCCCAAATAACAAGGAGAAAATTGATCAACCCGAAAATTATCAATACACATATAAATTCTGACGGATGAAAGGAAGAAAATATTTATTTTTCGGTCAAGTGTCACCTTCACAACAGATCCAGCAGCAAGGTATGCGGCCTCTGATGAACATCTATTCAAATAAATTGAATTGAACTGTGAAGCAATCTTTTTCCTCTGGGAATTATATTCTTTTGAGCCAATACACTTGACCAAATTAACATGGTTCTTTGTGTGAACCAATTGAAGATGCTTATCTTCAGCTTTGCTACCGCTAAAAACTACACACCTGAAAAGGAAAGCCGGAGATTCTCGTGTTCAGAATGCTATTTTGGTGCGACCAAAGATGACATAAGACTGGATAGACTGAAAAGAGAAAGGCAAATACTAAGTTCTGTCCCAACTAATGAGACAACCGCATTGAATCCTATGTTTGAAGAATATTTGAAGTTCAAAAGAATGATTGACAAGTTCTGAGAGAGAGGATCAGCAAATGTTCTCCTATAGAAACTCGAAGAAGAGAATTATATTATACCAGGAATAATTCCACAGCCCAATACCATTAATATCCAAAACACAGTCGATTGTTGAACGGATTCAAGTAAAAGGTCATTTCTTTCAGTAAAAATCAATTTGAAACCAAGCTACGACTGCAAAAGGAACATGTGCCGAATTGAAATTTGCACCACACCACAAAATTTCTGACAAAAAAAGCAGAAATTTGAGACCCATTTACCAACAAAGAGAATAGGAAGCACCCAACTTGACTAAATTCAATAGACTCCAGAATAAAGTCGCGCTCGAATCTCTCCATTTCCTAGGGCTTTTCGCCGAACAAACAGCAGAGCCGGACGACACAATTCAACTAAAGGGAAAGCAGAGAGAGGAAGATAAAACCTCTGAGTGACGCCGGCGTGCTCAAGCTTGTACCAGATAGCCCTAATGCGATCGGGACACTCCGGGTGATCATCGCCGTCCGGAGTTTCGTGTTTACACATTCTCTCATCGTAAACAAGACCCACCTTCCGCTGACTTTTCCGGTCGAATTCGCCGGAATTATGGCCGGACATCTCCATCTCCGGCGGCCGGCGGGTGATTTTGTCTCGACGTTCAGACAGAACAGAAGCAGATATGAGGGTTATGTATGGCAGGTCAGGAACACAAACCAATTGGATCTCAAGTTTCAAACTTTTTTTTTTCAAAATGGTTCCTTTTTTCCCTTTACTCCAATATTTTATTTTATTTTTGTTTTCCGCCCACCCATTTTGGAAATTCGTTGGAGGGAAACCAAGCTTCTAAACCAATCAAAATTCGACACGTCATCGCCAGTCAATTTTTTTCCTTTGAGCTTGCGAAATGAAGAGTTTCAATTCTAAAAGATTATCTTTTTTCAACAGAAATATTAACTAACACCATTAAAGCTTAAAACTTTAGTATTTTAAACCCTAAATATATCAAAATTCCATACTTTTAAAGTTATTTATACACCAATACTTAGATTGCAGAGTATTATATAGTTATAACATCAGCTAGGATTCCGTAACTGCAGCTGTACAGTCTTTCCCCAGAAGAGTGATGAGCCTTCCAGGAGGAGAATCGAACACGACCAGTCCCGTAGGTTGTTCTTCCGCCTTGTTCGCCAACCAGACAGCGCACGAGTTCTGTTCCTCGGATATGGCGCAAATTCTGCACTCCCAGTTCTTCAGGAGCATGTCTTTGCACCGTTGCAGAATCGAGTTGCTCTGCTGGAACGGAAGAGAGTTTGCGTTTAGAGCTTCGAGTGCGTTGAGGCTGGTCGTCTCCACTATAACTTTCCGGAAACCTCGATCCCATAGAAGCTTCAGACCTTGGTAAACAGCCCAGAGATCTGCTGACAATTCCGACAAGTTCTTCAGGTTCACAACGTAGCCACAGACCCATCTGCCAGATTCGTCACGGGCTATTCCGGCGGATCCGGTTAGATCAGATTCGGGTTTCAAAGTTCTTTGTACGTTAAGCTTCACCCATTTGCTCGGAGGAGGCATCCAGCTCAAGCCGGGTGTTCCACGAGGTTCTCCGGCAATGTTTCCTGACTTAGCAGCTGTGGGAGATGTAGCTTTTGAATTGGGTGTTGTCTGTATTGTCTGAAAACCCGGAGGAATACTGAATTCTCGGTTCTGGTCCGGTGACTTTGTGGGATTGTTGTGGAAGGATGTTCTGAGAGGACGAAGAAGAAGAAGCCGAGGTGGCTGAGGGCTTTTAGCCCTTAGGAAAACCCCCCAAAGGAAGTCACTGGTTTTCTTCTGCTTGTTTATGATGCCTGCAAATGGAGAATAGACATTGTTCTCAAAATACTATCATAAGGAGCTTGAAACAACTTGGAAAAGTGCCAGTAACCCTACTCTGGGAGGCCTCGTCCAGTAGCCTCGAGGAAAATATCAACAAGTCAGTGCCCTTGATGTTACTTCTGATCATGACATCACCATTCAAGATTATCTCCAACAGATGAGTGTGCTTCCCTTTAATCCTGAAAGCAACCGGGTACATGAATAATATTCCAGCCCTGTCCAAAAAGATGTACACTAAACTAGGTTTGAGCACAAACCTATCGGTATTCTTCTCATCTGGGAAAAAATACAGCTCCACATCACAGAGATTCGGTTTCTTGTTCTTGAACAGATCATTCAAATAAGAGCCTACAGTGAGCAGTTCAACATTGAGTAAGACAGGCATCACTTTCGATAGATTGTATGCCTTCTGACGGATCTTGGAAGCTGGTTGAGAGGAATACTCGCCGTAAAATTCTTCCGCTGTGGCAAAATTCCGAAAGTTTCCCCTTAATACAGAAGAAGAAAGATTATGTTTACCATCATGAGCAAAACTTAGTTATTCTGATAGCTGTTTACTTCATGAAGGACAAATATCAAAATCTTTCAAGATCTTTCAAGCAGAGAACAAACTAAAATGTCACAGCAAAAGTATATGGCATCATTAATTGTCGCTCGGTTCCATTCTTGGAATGCTCATAAGTTTCTCCAGCTTCGGCAATAAAACAACATATACCCTTCTAGTAAATCACATTCGTGGCAGCATCAGAAGATGCAGTGTTTTGAAGCAATCGATTACTCACTTCCAAGTGGAATGTAGAGCCGGAAGATATGAAAGAAACTGAACCAATTTGTCTGATAAACTCCATGAACATCTCTCTTCAATGTCATGAGAAATAGCTTCAGCACCAACATTGGGCTCTAAACCTAGAAAGCCGAAAAAAATAGCAAGATGTGTAATTTATTTGTTCAAGGAAAGAAAACGTAGTATCCAGTGGATGAACACAAAGGAAATAGAAATACAAAATGAGAAACAAAAGATGTCACCTTCTAATACTTCAGGTGGTTTAGTGGTTTGTTTTTCAATGTTTGGACCAATCTGCGAAGCACTTCTCCTAGGAGGGTCGAAAGTCTTAAACTGAAGGAAACTTGGACTGGTTTTTCGACTCACCATTGCAGATTTCAACCCCTCAGACCTAAGACCAGACACAATTTGCCTGTTGAATCTCATTGCTGAACCAGAAGGGTTCGGTCTTGGTACCATATTACTTGAAGAGAGACGAGTGGTTCCTGAAGAAAGACGGATGGCTTCTTCTGGTGGAATCACCTTAACTCTTGCTGTTTCAGGAATTGGTTTCCACTTGGGAACTGGCTTGGAAGATTCATTGCGAGCTTTAATGGGTCTTTCATTATTCCTCTGATTGCTGGGACCTGCAGTGTTTGGATCTGGAGCAGCATTTTTCTGGACAGGTTTCATCGAACAACCAGAACAAATCCAATGTCTTGGAGCCTCGAATCCATGTTCTTGCATGCAATAACTGGAAGATATGGATCGAAAGGGAAAGCATGTCAGGCACCAACCAAATACAAAGAGCCATATAGTACAGCACAACGGTAAAAGAAAGCACCCGGTCAAACGATATTCAGAAATGCTGTTTTCTTGCCAATACTTCATTTCACCATCTTACCTATGCTCGCGAACGATACAACATTTAGTGCAGGTCACAAGTAGTTCCTTCCAGTCATTGCTTCCACATGTTTGACAAATCTTTTCCTGCAATGGTGGCAGTGAAAGCAGATCAGCATATCCCTATTCAGTCTAATTCAAGCCGAGTATTAACTTTACCGACATGAAAACATCAACCAATGTGACAAAAACAAACACAGTATAATTATTGCCTAAGGGTGAAATCACAACCTCAAGAACGGAAACCATATTTCAGATCATCCAGGAACTCAGATTTTTCCCCCCCATCTGTCTGATTTGATCCTGCCATTCTCTTACACCATCACTGTTGAACTCAGATACTGTCCAACTTCATCAATCCGATGAAGCCATAACTCAAAACAACTGAGATTTATCCCCCCAACCAAAGTAGAAAGGAGGGAAAATAAAAGGAAAACTAAAACCACAGAAAACCGCCAAACTCGAGAAAACTGCAACCTGACATTGTGCATGGACATTGCATCTCTTGTCGGAGAAATTCCAAAATAGAAACCCTAGAATACGAACAGAAACCCAACAAAGACCCATTTCACAGTTTCACAGTTCAGAGTTCACGAAATAGCAAAATGCAGATAAACCCAAAAAAAAAACAAGAACCCGCTATTGTCAAGCATCATAAAACCGGTACTAATCAGCGAAAACCCACCCAAAGAGTCGTCTCCTTGCTTGTTACGAAAGACGGAGCAAAATGATCAAGCAGAGTTCAGTGAAGAGGAAACAGAACTGACAGAGAAAACAACCAACAAAAACACCAAAACAGAGAGGTGGTTCATGAGCGTTTTAGGAAATACCATGCTCGGCGGCTTCTCGCCGTGAAAATCTGAAACCGGAGGTGATTTTGTCCTTTGAGGTACACTGAGAGAGAGAGAGAGAGAATTTTTATTTTTTTTTACAGACAAACGTTTTCTAGAGTCTTCAATAATATGTTCAGCAGCAAAATTAAATACACCCTCGAATGTTTGATAATAATTCCCTATTTGAATATAGATGCATTAATTGTGTACGTCATGCAAAAAAGGGTTTCCATTTCAGGTAAGCGACTGTTGGCTGTCCGTTGGATGTCCAGCAGACTTTGCATCCATTTTCATATATGGGTATATTTTAATACCATGACTCGTGATAAATCTTGTAATTAATCTTTTAATAAACCAACAGAATAATAGTCAACAAGCCTATTTTATTTTATACACATTAATCGGGAAAAACACTGCAAGGCAAAAATTCTGCTGGCGAAAAAGACTCTGATACCCTTCAGGTTCAGAAAATTAACAACAGCATATACCACACTCTTCACAAAGCTTCGATCTTTGAGCGTTGGGTCCTTGAGGACGAGACACTCATGAACAGGCATATATGTCTGTCTCTGCAGACAAAATAATCTCACGAAGACTCTATGTCTCATATCGAAACGATGAAGCAAAAACCCATGTCTCAAAATCGAAGCTTGATCTTCTGTCTCTGCAACAGAGAGTAGTTTCTTACTGTCTTTAGGTTCTTGAACGACCACATCACTGTAATGGCTTTGACAAACAAGACAGCAAGAGCGGGAGGAGATTCTTTACGGGCAAATCGATGATGAACGTGATGATGATGATGAGAGGAGAAGAGTCAAGCTATGGTCTTGACTCCTACATCTGCAGAGCCTACTGATAATGGCAACTGAGTGTGTATGCATTTTATGAGTCAGGAGAAGGAAGATATAGTTGAGAGAGGCAGGAGTGAACTAACAAGTGTTTCCTGCCAGCCGGAGCATCCTGCCCTTTTTCCTTGGTGGAGGAAAGGCCTCGGAGAGAGGCCGTTGCTCTGAAAACACCCGAGCTTCTTTACCCATCACTGTAAAAGATATTTTCAATCCATATGGAGATTCCTTCGAGTAGTTAAGCACAATTAACTATGTCTTCATGTCACTATGTCTATGTGTTCTTTCATATCTTCAACAAAACTGAAAATTGGGACAGACTGATGATTCTCCTCTAGTAGCTAGCAGAATTAACAAGGATCCAACCAAACCCTATATCAGTTTCATACATAAAAAGAGAATTTTAGGGAGCTTCCTCACCTTCTAGCCTCTTGTGGGTCTCGAGCCCTTCGGAGGGCATATGAAATCCTGAGCTGCTACGAGCAGAGACACAGATAGGTTCTGCAACATCTTCCACGTTATGGGTTCTAAGTTTACTAGTCTTGTGTGATCTTTTCCTACAAGCACTACTAGAATTCTCGGGTTTTGAGACAAAATCAGGGCCCCTTTCAGATGCATTGATAGTTAAACCCATGAGGGTACGATCCTCCTTGGCAGCCATTGTTTGTATTATGCCATTTGAGGACCTGCACACTTCACATAACCAAATGTCGGGGATGGATGGTAAAGGGACCCTCGCGCAATAACTGAAGTCACAAAAGGAAGAAACACAGAAAAAAAGAAGAAAACAATGAGGAATGTTGATCACCGGCTCTATAACAATCAACATTATAGGAAAGACACATACTCCACCTGTAAACCCTAGTGCAGATTCATGGAGATCATCTCCAATTAGACCGTAATAAATGTCTACAAGTATCAATTGATTTAATCTCATTTCAGGGCATTCTGAAAATAAAGCCAGGATAAAAAAGAAGTGATCTTACATATGCTCTCGAACTTCTCTGCACTGGAAACAAGTGATTATCAAATCCTCATAGCCTACACTCCCACATATCTGGCAAGGATCCTGTATAACAATTAAGATTCAATCAGAACAAATATGCCTTAAGTATTGCCTGAGCAGAGCCAAAGTTAGATATGCTGCATCAAAGTATTGCTTGATCCTTTACTGATCAATCCGACCATCTCCTGATACTTAAACACTATATGAATCACAGAGTTTCTACCTGATAAATGTATTCAACAACTGTCAAGAACCAAAAAGAATATAATATGCACAGGTAAAAGGCTTAATCTCATACTAAATGCGAAAATCTCGGATACTTTGATCGAAGCAAAAGCTCGAAAAGAATGAAATACAGATCCTGATTCTCCGGTTTTCCCCTGAAAAACCTGTCTTGCTAACTCGTTCAAGCATATAATCAAACAGTTGACATCTCAAGACAGATACTCATAGAACTAAACAAAAGAACCAATAGCAAAATTGATTCCCGTTGACAAATCAGAGCAGCACCATGAAGAAACGTAAATATCCTAGAACTGCAAGTTCTTTCACCGATTCGATAAAGGATCACAGCAACAAACCGCAAGTCACGATTACTAAGATTTCCCTCCCACCTACTCGAACCCAAACGAAGCCAAGAAAAACGAAGAACAAAAATCAAAGAATTACAATTAAAGAATCAGTGATTATGAACAGAGTGTCATAGGGAAGCTAATTAGGACAGAGAATCGTCGAAATATCAAAGCTACGTCTATTGGGTGTTCCCTTTACCGGAGAAACTGGACTTGTTCTCGAATCTTGCATGTCTTGATCAGACGACTGTGAGAATCTTTCTGATTGATTCTCAACCTCGTCCGTCTTTCCCATTGTTCTCGAGAAAAGGGTCTTCAATGGCGGTAAAGGGTATGCCGGAAACTAGGTTTTGAAGAGACCTAACTCAAGAAAGAGATCGTTTTCTTGAGGAGGAAGGAGCAGTTTCTCTTATGATGAACTACCACACTTTTTTTTTAATTCCCCCTTTTTGTTTTCTCCCGAGGAGACATCTGCTAAACAAATCAGAGGGTTAGGCCCCAATTTCAACACCATCGATCACGCAAACCAAACCGGTCCTCATAGACCGGTTAACCAAACCGGATTAAACCGTAAATAATGTCAGATTTGAAGTATTTCCGGTGTGTGATCACTGGCATTAACTAAATTTTGCTTCAAGGAAACATCTTTTTTAAGATCTGAGAATTGAATCTATAAGAATCGCCAAAAGGGACACAAAAGATCCAATCTTTTGGTTTGGTCTGTTTTTTACACAATAGACCATTGCAACCTTGCAAAACCAGAGAGACATCCTACTGAGACACTGCACCAAGACAGAACACATGCCACTGCTCACGATCAAGACAAGAGAAGGTAATAAGAACATGTTGATCGAGTTTCTGGGCCTGAACCCTGTGTCGTTTGAGTAATCTGGGTTGATACCAGTGGCTGAGGTGGCTGAGTAAGGGCTGCTGTTGCCGTCGGGAGTCATGGCCGCCTGCAACACTGTAATAGCAAGAACGCATTTCGTGGACAGACCATGTCCAAGATTCAAGAACTTGCGCCATAACTTGGAAAAAGTCGGCATCAAGCTGTGATAAGACCATCTTTGAGTGGAAATGTCCAAGAACATCAGAAGCATTCTTGATTTGATCCCAGTTAGAAGGTAGTGTTCTTGCAGAATGAGCTTAAACAGTGAAGCCATGAAATGAAGTTCACTGAGAAACGGGAGACAGTTGTACGATGTGTTCTGTCGAGAATAAAGACAGCATTTGGAGACACTCCTGGCACTAGCAGGGAAAGGACATCCAGCATAACCTGTGGTAAATCCGCACACCCAGAAAAACAAATTTTGAAAAAAAAAAAGAGATTATCTGGAACTTGTTCATCACTATAAACAAAATAGATCTTCGAACTTGTAAAAAAGTTTGTGTCTTGATGATGCATTTGGCACTAGAATCAGACATCCGAGTCCAAAATCTAGATTCTCCGGTTGTGTCCCTGGCTTTAGTCCCATCCACAGACTATCACATAACAAAAGGCCATCAAATACAGTAAATCTGCTACAAGGTTGTGAGATAAAGACAGAGATTCTAAGGAACTAACTGGGATCAGGGTTGCTGAGAGTGGCAGTGCCACTGCAATCGCAGCCACTTTTCACTCCTGCTACTGTGTTTGAGGGGGAGAGAGAGAGAGAGAGAACAAGTAGAGACAAGACAATGGTGGTGTGAAGGTGACTAGTTGTCCTTTGTCTCTTCTTCTTAACCCTTGTGTGCTTTTTGTGTTGCTTATTTGGTGATGTGAAAATTGTAAGCTTTTTTTAAAACGTTCAATCCAAAAATGTGAAAAAAATATGGTCAACAAATACCTAAACGCATGAACGGTGATCTTGGAGGATCTCATAAGAACAAATCCATCATATCCATGGAGCTGCATTGCGTTTTAGCTTTTACCACATAACTGCATTTTTTTTATTTTACATATCCATCTCTGCTCGCATACCCTAACTTAGCCAACAGACAAACCCGGTTTTCTTTCGAACCACAACTCAACCGTACACTCTCGGACCCAGCCTTGGCCTTGGGTGAACCATCAGAGGATCTGCCCTCTGCAGCGTGATCCCATAAGCTTCGTCCATGTTCAGCTTCTCCGGCCTAACTCCGTCGGCTAATTCCCAGTCAAAGCCGTGGACCACCGTCGCCGTCAACAGCTGAATCATCCGTAAACCTAGACTCAGCCCAGCACAGATTCTTCGTCCCGCTCCGAAGGGTATGAGCTCAAAGTCGTTGCCTTTAACGTCGACTTCGGCTTTCTCGCCGCCGGGGAGGAACCTATCGGGTCGGAACTCTAACGGGTGGGACCATTGATCCGGGTCTCGGGCTATGGCCCATATGTTGGTGAGGAGAGTTGACCCTTTCGGGATGTGGTAGCCATTGATCTCGCAGCTTTCCGATGCAATGTGTGGCAGAGAGAGTGGCGTTGGTGGATGTAACCTGAAATTCTCCTTAATTACCGCCTGCAAAACCAAACCGGTTTAGCCAGAAATTCGCCTTAACTACTGCCGACAAAACCAAACCGGTTTATCCAGATAGCATAACCTAAGATTTTTTGGTTAAGCGAAACCAAAATCGGACCAGTAACGTGCACAGAATGAAAATCAATAACCAATTCATAATTGGTTGGCACCGGTAAGACCTTGCAGCTTCTTGATGCTGGTTCTTGAGACTTAAACCGGGCCAGAAAAACGTATTACCAAAACCATGAAAGTGTAAACCGTACTATTACATGGGATGAACTATAATCCATTAAACCGGACCAATTGCTTCGCTTGACTCTGCAGTAAACCGAACCAACAAAAGAGGCACAGAAGTAGCTCATTGGTTGGAAATAAAACGCATAAACCGGTCGGTTTACCGAATCCCCGGTTTGGTTAAGCATACCTGGAGATATGGAAGGTTTGGGAGGTCGGATTCAGAAACGGGCCGATTCCGGCCTACAACGGAGTCAAGTTCCTGTTGGGCTCGGCCCATTATCTCCGGATGGCGAATCAGCTCGGCGACGGTCCACTCCACCGTACTTGATGATGTGTCTGTCCCAGCACTAAACATGTTCTGTCATTTCAAAAACAAAAAAGAAAAATTAAATCTTAACTAAGAAAAAAATTCAAAATAAATACATTGAATTTTGTAAAATCTTAAAAAAAAAAAATACACATCAAGTAACGTTTAATAATTTTAAAAGGACTTTGTATATTTTTTGCCACGTGATAACAAGGCGTACCAGAAGGAGGGCTTTGATCTCGGTGTCAGTGAGCGTGCTTCCGTCACCGTCAAGGTCCTTTCCCTTGAGAGAGATCAAAGTAGAAAGCATATCACTCTTGTTTTCATCAGGACCGTTGATTTCGTGCTCCTCCAAGATCGACGACAGAAAACCGTCGAACCGTTTGTGAAGCCGTTTCATCTTCGCCGCAACGCCCTGTAAGTCTAGCCAATCCAACGCCGGAATGAAGTCGCCGACGTTGAAAACTCCGGCGAGTGACATCATCTCCGTCACCATCGACTTGAACTCCTCGGCCCTTGGATCTGCCCCCACTCCGAATAACCGCCGTCCGATCATCACTCGCCCCAGCGCGTTGACCACGCACACGTTCACTAGTTGACTCAGGTTCACCGGATTCGTCTTTGCACGCGCCAGCTCGCGCGTGAACGCTCCTACCTCCTCCTGCACATATACGTAATTACATTTATATAGCCTCCTCCGTACTAATCGATGGTTCAACTTTTTTTTTTTTGGGGGTAAATAATCGATGGTTCAATTGAATTTTATGTTCGTGCATTTCTTTCATGTTTATCGCGTAACATAAGGTGCACAAACTTTCCTACCCTATTTTGTATTAACCAATGCTTTTTCATTTTATACCACATATAAATTCTAATATGAAAATTATAAATATCAGTATTCTCGATGTTTAAAATTAATACTTTATTCTTTTAAATATTTTTAAATATTGTATAATTTGAGAATCGAATTACATCACCCAATACAAAAACAATAAAATAGAAAAGTATGGCTGCTGTCATTTTAGCAAAGGCTGACACGGAAATGAAATTATATATTAATTAATGAAATTAGTTTAACAACCAACCGAAAATAAAAATTGTCAACAATAACATTTAATTTTGTATTGTTTTGATTGGTTTAATTGATTTCCTATGTCATCCAATGTCATGAGAATTTGGATAGCTGAGAGGTAATCTTCATTTTCCTCTCTTTTTCCAAGTTAGGAGGTAAAGTTGGACTATAGTTAGCTGTGATATATATATATATATATATATATATTCGTATCTCAATACAAATATACAAAAAAAAAAGTTTTTACATCCCTAAGTATAGTTTCTTCATAATTTGTAAGTTTTTTTCTGGTTAAAATAATTTGTAAGTTTTTGCCCATGAATTCGTTTTGATTCCTTGGCACGGAGTTTTTTTGTCTTTATATATATATATATATATATATATATATATATAGTGGAGTCTGAACACGAGGCACATGAGCAGAAACCTCCATGCATTTACATGCATTACTTCTATGTATAGAAACCCTAGAAACAGACAAGGGAAGGTTATGACCTGGCGAACATGTCTGGAATCTTCTAGGGCTTTAGCGGAGAAGAGATGAACGGAACTGATCTTCCGCAACATTCGCCAACGTTGTCCGTACGGCGCAAAGACCAAGTCTTGGTAGTTATACGCTATGTGTTTGGCTCCCGAGTTCGGCGGCCGGCTCGCGAAGTTGGAGTCGTGGACCCTCAGGAACTGCTCGGCCACGGCCTTGGACGAGGCCACAACCACGTCCACGAACCCGAGCCGTAGGTGGAGGAGAGGTCCGTAGGTTGCCACCATCGTGGTGAGATTCCGGTGGGGCTTTGGCCCCATGTGCGGCAGTGTTC